GAGGGTACCACAATATTGGTTACATTTAAATTGGAAGAAAATATTCCAAACCCAGTACATACTTCAGCTCTCACTAAGACACTTGTTGTTGTTATTTTTATTTTTAAGTAATTAAAATTGTATTTTTTAAAGTATTAATACACTGTAACTATATCTTATTGAGAGAAATAAGTGTATTGATTGTATTGTATTGTTTCACGCACTTTCCGGTAACCGATTTCAATAAAACTTTGGCAAATAGATGTAACGAAATTTTAAGGTCGGATTTTTTTATAAAAATGTTATTTACTACAGTATAGGGTTTTGTAACTTTTTTATACTATCAAGTGACGGGGTGAACAAGTCGTGCACCTGGTGGTACGCGACACGCCTATTCATAACAGTTGCAGTGCCATTCAGAGCTTAAAATCGCAAAGATCATATGGGCACTGCCCAGCGTCCATCACCCCGAGACAGATATACGTAGGTCAACTTCTTTTGCCGTCTGTTTGACAACTTTTTTTATAAATTTTTCACCCATTTAGTTGGATAAACAAAGGTTTCACCATACAGCCTCTTCATAAAAATTACATCCTTCCTTGTTTAATTTTTGATAGATGGAGTTATTTATTTTTTATAATATCAAGTAATGGGACGAATGAGTTGTGCGTTTGATGGTAAGCTACACGCCTGTCCATGAGAGTTGCAGTGCCACTCAGAGCTTTGAAACGCAAAAATCTTATGGGAACTGCCACTGCGTCCGTCACCTCGAGACATAAGTTGACAAGTCATAATGCTTACATTGCTGCTTGCCTTTATTATTTCCATTCTCTAAGACTTGGTGGCAGAAATAGCTAAGGTGACAGTACTTCCCTGGACGAACTCTTTCACAGGCTCTCAAAGCTCTCAAATTTGAAGAATTCCACCTCTAAAGATGGCGAATTAGGGATGAATCCGATTTATTGGATTCACCCACTTTTCGTTAACCAATTTCAATAAAACTTTTGCAAATAGATATAATTCCACAAATTTTTGAGGTCGGCTTTTTACAAAAAAAAAAAAAATTATTTAAATGGAAAAATTAGTTTTTCTATCATATTTTTTTCCAAAAGTTACTTATTTCCAGCGAAGAAGTTCACTGACCTCTGTTTAGCGCTGTCTTCGTTGTAGCAAATAGCTTGTACTTTATATATTATCGAATGAAATATAATACTTTTGTTACGAATTAAATTCACAGACGTCAACTGAAAGATGTCAGAGTTTCGGTAAGTAAATTACGAGTGTACAATATTGGAAATGAGTATGTAACAGAATTAAGACAGGCCATCTATGGTTAAAGGTTAAAATACCATGATCAAGTGTGGACAGAATATTCTTTCTTCAGACTTTTATAGGCAAGGTGAACTCGCTTAGCTCTTGCAAGTTGTCTGGGTCTCGAAATAATATTGTAAATAGAGGCAAAAGTGTACACCACCCAAATATTATTTTCAGTATTAATTGAAATGATACTAAAGTACATAATAATTGTATATTTGGACTCTATTTTCATATATAAAAAGATATTGGTCATATAATAAATAATAATAATAATAACATACACACTCATAGGTAGACAATGACAAGATACACCAAACTCACGACAGAAATAATAGGCCATATAAATATTTCTCCCGGCCCGGGACTCGAACCCGTCGTGCGCCTGATGGTAAGCGATACGCCTGTCCATTGCAGTTGCAGTGCCACTAAGAAATTTAAATCACAAAGATCTGAGGGGCAATGCCACTGCGCCCGTCACTTTGAACTTGACAAGTCTCAAAACTGGAACGCATTATTGCTCACATTACTGTTTGGCGACAGAAATAGGTAAGGTGGCAGCACTTTCCTGGACGAACCCTTACACAAGGAGCTCTACTATGACTAGATAGATATCGTCGTCTTAAAGTGAACACCTCGTATGTGATTTCAATGTAATTTTTCAAGACGATTATAAAAATGTGGTTTAAGATGTTGTTTGTAGTTTACCATTTTAATTAGTTAAATTATACCTCTTTCAGATACTATATTACAGTAATTGTTAACGTCTGCCTGCCACCTTTCTCAACAGTGCTAGCATGACAGGGGGCGACTAGCGCGAGAGCGACATAAAACGTCTCTGCTATTCTCCCATAGGGTAACCTATCACAAACTCGATTTTTTTTCCCGAAATATCGTTTGTTCGAATTTTCATTACACCGAATTATAACGAAACCGTTGTTCTTTCAGGATGTGATGAATGTCTATCGCAAAGACACGATTAGGTTCGGTTAGGTTAGCTTAAGTTAAGCTTAAGACAAAAAACATTTTCCTCTCAAAATTACTTTCAAGTTTATGAAAATTCGAGCGAGCGTTATTTCTGGAAAATGTCATTTCGGAGTACTGATAGGTAACCCTCGCATAGAGATCTCGCGCTTTATGTCGCTTTTGCGCAAGTCTTATCGTATTAGCCCTACAAGTTTTGGCTAAATGTAAATCCCTCATTACCAGTCTCTCATTTTCTGTATGCATTGCATTACCCCACTTTGGCGCCGTTAGCCTCAATTATAAACGTGCACAAATGTTTATTTCTAAAGAGCTACCCTTAGAGTTTCCTACTTAGTCTTCAGTAGGAATCTGTCTTCGAATGAAAAGCAGTTTAGTCAAAGTGACAATTTCAAGTGTAATTTGCTAACCTATGAAGATTATTTGAGGTTGAGATATAAATGGATTAAGTTACAATATTTTATTGTTACTAGATCGAATTTAATATAGGGGCTTGCGTAAAGAAGTTAGCACTGGAGAGAATTTTGGAAAAGAGAAGACTATATTAAAATAATGTACAGACAGGTTCTAAAACGGTGTGTCAGTCCAGTTGCCGCCTGTTACCTTCGTTGACAGCGCTAAGGTCGGTCTGTGTGTGCGGGGCGGACGTGGGTGGTGGGGGCGGGGGCACGGCGGGGCGCTCTATCGGCGCCGGCGGCGGCGCCAAGCACGGCGACGACTCCGCCATGCCTACGCGAAGCCTACCCTCGCGGCGACGTGCGGGCGCCGTGGGGGACAGCGTCTCGGTGCTGCCTGGCTGCCCGTTGTCGCTGCTGCGGACAAATTTCAAAGATTGGCTTATTTGTCGTCTGCTGTTAGACGTTAGAGCGTTTGCGCATTACGTCCGATTCGTATCAGTTCCGAATCCAAAAATTATGACGGTCCGAAATGTCACATGTTTATGTTAAGTTGTACAAGGGATAGTCGCATTTTCTCGGGTTCGAATTGGACTTAGTACACAAGCGACATAAGAAGTGGGTCCGAGTTTTTTAGATTTGTATAGTCTCGGATTCGAATGCGAATCGGATGCTGTGCGCAAACGCGCGTAGTCTAGTGTAGAGGTGAGGTGGTGTATGGTGTGTATTTTATGTTCACACGCAGAGATGAAAAAAAACGGTTTATAAATTTGAAACGTACTTTTTCAAATAATCGTGCTTATGAAAAAACGCTTTTTCATTTGAAGCTTACAAATTCGGTTAGGAAAACGTCTAAGCTTTGAGTTAAAACAAAGTTTTAAATTGTGTTGTAAGGTAAAAAGTTTATATCAAAAAAATCATTCGATCGGGCTGGACACGATCCAATGTTTTCCAGTAAACCGTACCAGACCTAAGTTTTTGGTTTGTAAATGGTTTGTAACGACTTTTTGCCGTAGCGCCATCTGTGAGAAATCTATTTATTCACTTAGCCAGGTACCTTTACAGCTACCAGCAGCCGACTACAGATGTCGCTTTAATAAATATAACTTTTAAGTTTATTGAATGTCACGATGTTTGACCACCATGATAGTCAATTGTTTTTGTGAAATTGCTCCACTAGTTTGCCATAATTATTAATAAAAAGATCGAAGACTAAGAAAAAACTCCTTCGGCTCCGGCTGGACTCGAACCAACGACTTCCAGCAAACCGTGCCAGACGGTATGCCACACGGAAGAAAAAAACAATGGAAGTGCCTTAAGACTCGATTACTATCAGAACAGCTGTCGCCAAAACTCACACTATCGTAATGTTAAACACTATGAAATCTTGATAATGATTAGTCATAGTTTCTAATTTAAGATGAACAAGAGTAATAACATTATTTGGAATTCTGTCCATTACACCCACGTATTAGCGCTAGAAAAAATTTAATTTTGTCCGTAATCTCTATAAAAGAATGTATGGTTATTACCCCCTGCCCTATCCCACTACCTTTATCTTGGGTCAATTACAGAACACTAATCTCTAATAATAAAGTCTAATTTTAAGGCGCTAAATTTAAAAAAAAACTCACCAATTGCTAAATCCAGAGTCACCATCCATCGAATCCGTCAAATAGAACGTCGAGTTTGTAATCTTCAATGCACTTGGCACATCCGAGTTGATATCAACGGCCATCGATGAAGATCGTCTAAAACGCGACTTAAACGAAAAGTATGCTTTTCTTGATAATGTTCCGCTGTCTTTCTTATTAACGTCACTTGTAGGAGTTGTAGGTTTCTCCGGAGGCGGCTTCTCGGGCAACGGTGGAGGCACATCTCCATTGCTAAGCCTTTTCTCAGTAACAGTCTTCAATTCCTCTCTAAACGATCCAGTGACCTTGATTAAAGGAGGTTCAGTCTTAAGTACAGGCTTCATATCATTGAAGTTAATATTGCTATAAATGTGCTGGATCTCAGGTTTCTCGCAATTGGCGTAGATTGGAGCCTTCTTTGTTTTCGGTACGTCGTAAGTACCGTTTGTAGTGTTGGATGTGAATTTGCTGAATGGGTTTCCGTCCATAGCCACTGTAAAACAAATATATTTTATTTTTAATGTAATAATACAGATTACTGAAAGCAGGTAGGCAATCAATGTAATATTTGAGGGTTCTTTTAGTCGAGTACCGTATTTTAAGATTTAATTATTTTTTCTACGAGTAAATAAAATAATATGACACAACTATAACACAATCAATATTTAATGTATATTTTGTCTATATTTTGTTAAGAATCCATAACAACAAACTCAAATAAAAGCCAAACAAACGCTTCAAAACAAAAAACCAAACAGGTAGAATAGAAGTGGCCAAGGAATGTTTATATTTTAACCAATCATTTTTTGTGGCAAGATCTTTAGGACAATTTAACCAATCTGGAGGCAGTAGAGCGTTTGAGTAAAGTCGTCATTGATATTTTAATTACCAAAAATACGACGTTCTTTTTTTGAAAGTCATAGTTCTGTGTTCTGAACTTGAACTATAATGAAATTTTTCAGTTCAGTAGCGGATACCATAGACAACAGAATTTTGATTAAGAACTAAAAAGAGCGCCTTTGTGATATGGTTTAAGAAATTCTAATTGACAGATTAAGATACGGGAGTAGAAAAACACTATTCTTAGAACAATACAAAGGAAAACATCAGTAAATCTGCATTCCAATGACAACTGTACACAACATTCCGAAATAAGAAAATATAAATTGTGTTATTTTGTAAATGAAAAAAAAAGAAAAGAAAGTAAGAACCGATAAGATCAAATAAAAAATATTTTAAATTTGTCGAAGTATACATATCTATCTTAAAATACAAAAGTTTAAATTTACTGTTAACAAATTTTTTGAATGCATGAATTTTCTATGGAAAATATTAAAAACTGTTCCTTAGTTTTTACTAATTAAAAAAGATATTGTCACTTTCGAGAATCGTGGTTTGATCCGATATGGTCTAGTGGCTAGGATACCTGTCTCGCCCCAGGAGGCTCGGAATCGATTCCCGGTATCGGAACGTTTATTTAGTTAACGTTTTTTTTTTCTTAATTAGCAACCTTGTCTTGCGAATCAACAGGTGGTATTACTTACAATCACAAATTACCTTGTACTGCTCTAGCCAAGGGTAAGAATGATGATTCTAAAATAAATTGCCAATTTCTTTATTATCTAAAGTTTATTTTTTAAAACCAACCTGAATATCTTTTAGTGAGATTTCGCTTGATCTGACGCATCTTTTTCTGCGCGGCGCTGGCGATCTTGGTGAGGGTGTACTGACCCCCGCTGGGTGGTGTGGGAAGGCGGGACGACGGAAGCGCTGGTATCGGTGGCGCATTCGCAGGCTACAGGCAAACGAGAATACAGTTAATAAATATAATCTAGTAGACATTATCATCAGCGGGAAATAGTCTGTTTTAACATAGCCACCAAAACAAACTCAACTGAGTAATATTTATTTTTTATTGAATATCATGACGTTGTACTGCCATAATATTTATATATTTATTTTGTGCATCTCCAGTCCCTCAAATACCACTGTCACGATGGGAAATGAGAGGCTGGAGAGAGTCGACCAGTACGTCTACCTCGGACATGTTCTGTCCTTTGGCAAAGAGCATCAGCCTAAAGAGGTCTCAAAAAGAATCCAGCTTAAATCAAATCAGGTTCCACAATGTCTGAAGACCCGCTTGTTTAATCTGTGTGTTCTGCCCGCCATGGCGTATGGTGCCGAGACATGGACGCTCACGCAGGAGACTGTATACAGGTTGAGAGTTACACAGAGGGCCATGGAGCGCGCCATCATGCTCGGCATCAGCCTTGTAGACCGAGTTCCGAACATTGTGATCCGACGACAGACGAAAGTCCAGGATGCTGGAACTCGGATCATGGAACTCAAATGGGGCTGGGCGGGACACCTAGCAAGGCAAGGTGATGACAGGTGGAGCAAGACATCGACTGATTGGTGGCCGAGGATGGGTAAAAGAAGCGTCGGGCAAGGTGGGTCGACGACATAGTACGCGTCGCGGGGGGTCAATGGATGCGGCTAGCACGGGAACGTGGTAGATGGCACAAACTTTCAACAACAATTCATATACACATACAGCAATATTAAAAACAATGAGTACGTTACATAAAAAAAAAACTTATTTCAATGATTGTATGTACTTGCTACTTATATAAAATGTTTAAGTTTGGGATCGAGCGTTCCTCCACTCACTGGCTATCACTAGGTAAATACAGTACAACAAAGAGATAAAAATCAACAGTATAAAAAAGACAATTGCTATGGTATGTAATTATAAAAACTACGACAATTACAAAATTAAAAAAAAATGGTTCATAATATTAAAAATAAAATATATATATGTAAAAAAAAAATATTAGACAACATCACATCTTTTTTAAAATTTATTTATTTGGTTTACCTACTTTATGACTATTTACTAGTTAACACTGATTTGTGGTTTTAAAATTTAATGCACAGGTATATAATTAGAGGTGTACGCGTCTTGCAGAAAAAATGGCGCAATCAGAAACAGTAGTATTCCCGGTAGTACAATTTTTTTATGATATCAAGAAACGGGACGAACAAGTCGTGCGTCTGGTGGTAAGCGACACGCCTGTCCATAGCAATTGCAACGCAACTAAACGCAAAAACAACAATTACACAACAAACGCACCGCCACTGCGCCCGTCACCCTGAGACATAAGTTGGCGAGTAATTTCAATTTCACCATATCCCTGTAATTTCACCAGCCTGTAATTGTAATTCCTTCGATCTGACTGCACACAAACCGGCGTTTGTTGCCACGCAGTGGCTACCAGTGTTGCCAGACTTTTGCGAAGTTAAGTCGCCAATTTATGTA